AGATCCTGACCCCAAAATTAACTAATTTAATTAAATAAATTTTTAAAGTTTTTCAGACCAGCCTTGGTAGCAACTACTCCAACACAATAACTATGCAATACTTTTACAACTTGAGAGAAGCCGTAGACCCTATGTAAGTGAATGGATGTGTCTGCATGCCAATAAAACTTTATTTACAAAACAAGTAGCGGACCAGTTGTGGCTAAGGCTCTAGATTGCCGGGACCTGTGCATAGTTGAATCCTCCATGGTGAGAATAGTTCACACAATCACCATTTGGTGAAAGAATGAACTGTGTTCTCTTTAACAGAGAGTATCCCAGAGCTGGGACGAGCATACTGTACTCCAGTCGACAAACTGGATCTCTTATTCGTCCCATAGATGTCTAGGTGTGAGGTTGCTGGATCAAAGCTTATGAACTTAGTATCACTAGTTCCTTGAAGTCCTTCCTGTTTCTACCATCTGTGATACTCATTCTTGAGAGCTGGGTTCTTCCTCTGCCTCCTTAGCCACCACCCCCTACTTGTTTTTCCTGAATTCGACTCAGTTTCAGAGTTCCCATGCTAAGCAAAATGTTCCCTCGCTTAAAGATGTCTACATCCTAATCCCTGGAACCTCCGGAAGTCACCCTGCGTAGCAAAGGGAACTTTGCAGAGGCCTTTACCTTAGGCAGCTTCGGGTGGGGAGTTTGTCTTGATTTATGCCCACGAGGCCAATGTCATCACCAGGGTCCACAGAGAGAGATCTGGCTCAGAGAGGGACAAGTGGGAAGCTGGCGTTGGAGTCCAAGTGGCATGTGTAATAGATTCCATCAGGTCAATAGCTTTGAAAACGGCAGGAGCCACACGCCAGAGAAGGCAAAAAGCCTCCGGACACTGGAGAAGGAGAAAGGGATAGATTCTCCCCCTGGAGCCTCCAGAAGACAAGGTCACAACGTCGCCCTTGTTTTTGCCCTGGAAACCAGAGCAGACTTCTGATCTCCAGACCTGAAGGTAACAGATTTGGAATGCTTTAAGCCACTGAATTGCTGGTCCTTTGCTACAGCAGCCTTAAGGTGTGTACAGAGGAGTTGATGGCTGAGGGTAGAGCTTGGTGGAAGAGTACTTGCCTAGGAGTCACCAAGCCCTGGGTTCAGTCGCCAGCAGCACACAAATTGTATACAGACAGGAATCAAACTCTCCGAACATGATGCTTGGATCTGCTCTGCAGCTCATTCTCCTTGGGGTTTTCATCCTCCTTATAACAACTCGCGGACTTGTCTATCAGGTCCCCCATGCTTTCCCATGTAGCATTGACAGAGCTTGTTTATAAGTTCATATTGGAAGCATTTTGCCAGGCATGGGCTTGGGTGCTGTAGGTCCAGATTTGTGTGTTTAGTATGACAAAAATTGTATGTTTACACTGTAACCATTAAATGTCCTCAGCATATCCAGATAATGTCACATCTTTAACTAGTTCAGCATACATCTGCTCTTAGGCAAGGCAACCTCACTGTCCAGTGACATCTTATTGAAAACCCCAGTTAATCCTTAACCACAGAAACACAAGCGAAGCAGGTCCAGTCCTCCCAGTCAGAACCAGTTCTTTACAGGGGGCAATTCTGTCCCTCGGCAGCATCTGTCACTCTCTGAGGGCTTGAGACTTTTGATTTTTTTCAGTCACGCTGGAAATGGAAGGAAGCTAATGGTACTGAGTGGGCGGGGCTCAGGCAGCCTGCTGAATGCCACACAGCACAAAGGACAGCCCACGACAAAAAATGATCGGCCCCGAACGCCAGCAGTGTGCGGTCTGAGGAACCCAGCTCTAAATGGATCTTGTACAAATGTTTTAAATTTTTATTTTATTTTAGGAATGTTTGTTTGGTTGAGAAAGGATCTCAGTATGTAGCCCTGGGTGACCTGGAACTCACTATGTAGACCAAGTTGCCCTCGAACTCACAGAGATGGCCCTACCTCTGCCTCCTGAGTGCTGGGGCATATTTGGAGGTTTTTTTTGTTTTGTTTTGTTTTTTTAACAGACTTAATACTTTATTTTTCTTGTATAAAAACCCTTATGTGGTGGCCACAGCTGGAGCCTGGGTCCTTTGAACAGAGACTCTGGTGTGGGTTTTCACAAGATGGTCAGTGAATTCCTGATAAGGAGACTTGGTCTCTTTCCAGAGGTCAGGAGTGAGGTAACTGTAGGTCTTAGAGATAACATCAAAGGTGGCCTTGACAAAGTTTCCCAAGTTGGTGGTGCAGCTCCTGGCTGATGTGTATCTGTCATCAATGCCAGCCATCATCAGTAGCTTCTTGGGCACAGGAGCACAGACGATTTTTAATAAATATTTATTTTTATCTAAAAGTGTGTGTGCTTGTGTATGCAGAGGCCCACAGGGGCCAGAGGCATTGGATCCCACTGGAGCTAGAGTTACAGGTAGTTGTGAGCCATTTGCCTTTTGTTCTAGGAAATGAACTTAGAGCCTCTGCAAGAGCAGTATGCCCTTCTCACCATCGACCCATATCCCAGTACATTGCTAAGTAGACTGATCCTCTTGCTCGGAAGCCTGATCCTGCTGGCATTACAGGTGTGCACCCCACACCTGGCTCAGATGTCTTTAAACAAGGGTTTGGACTGGCTTGGCAATGCTTAGCCCTGTCTCCCAGTCAGACAAACCTCAGAAGCCTACCTGACTAGTAATTCTTCCTAACTTTGTCACAGACACCTTCCCGGTCTGGATGGTATGCCCAGAGCAGCCCGTTACATTCACTCCATTCCACACAATGCTCTCGGGTAGCTGCGTTGGTTGGGATTCGAGAACAGAATCAATGGGTGAGCATGGGAGCTGGGGGGTACACCTGTAGGAATTGGTTCTCATCAGTATGGAGGCTCTGATGTTCCATACTAGACTGTCCAAAAGCTGCAGAAACAGGAAACACAGTAAAGAGTTTCCATCCAATTCTTATTTTTATTTGGCATTTTGGTTTTGTGTATGTGTGCAAAAGTGTATGAGTGCACTTGTGAACATGTGCATCAAGTGTGGGGGCTGAGGGTCACTTTAGGTGTCATTCTTCTGGAGGGGATCGAACACAGGTCCTCAAGCTCCTGCGGCTAGCACTTTCCCAATTGCCCCCTCCCTTCCTGGTTGTTAAGACAATGTCTCACAATAACCAAGGCTGATCTAGAACCCACGGCAATCCTCCCAGCTCAGCTCCTTTTCCCTCCCCATAAGCCACTAAACAGGAAATAATAAATCCTCATGTCTCACATTTGCCCTCACCTTTACACTGTTCCTCCAAAGTACCAAGTTAAGTCACAACAAGCCCCCACAGTGCTGCTCATCTAACGAGGTGCTGTAGAAAAGTATCCCACGTGTGCTCTTATATTCAGAAACTAGGTGTGTGTGTGGGGGGGGTCATGAATGTAGAAAGGGCACTATGTGGAGGGAACAAAGGATGGTAATAGGATGAACTGACAAAGACTTTTTTCCTCACATGGAATCCAGATATACAAATGTATGTGTGTGTATGTGTGTGTGTATTTGCTGTTACAAATAGTGAATTTAAATGTGTTATCACGTTTATTTATTTATTGGGAACATGACACACATGTGGAGGTCACAGGATATCTTGAGTTGTTTTTTTTCCTTCTACAGTATGGTCTCTAGAATCAAACTCAGGTCCTCAAGCTTGGCAGCAGGCACCTTTACCTACTTTGGTCATCTCACCAGCCCACAAATAATAATAAGTTCTAACACATTTTTAGAAAGTGACCATTTGACCTGGCGGTGGTGGCACAGCCTTTAATCCCATCCATCACTTAGTAGGTAGAGGCAAGCGAATCTCTGTGCGTTAAGGCCAGCCTGGTCTATAGACGGAGTTCCAGGACAGGCAGAACTAGACAGAGAAACTGTCTCGAAAAACCAAATAGTAATGATGATGATGATAAAAGGATAAAAGAAATTAACAATTTGATAAAGAGAAAATTTATTTGTTGAATTCACTGTAACTACATTGCATGAGTATTTTCTTTTTAAAAAGCTGTCTACCCGTATTATATATACATATATATATATATATAAAGATTTATTTATTTATGTAGTGGTCTATCTGCATGCATGCCTGCACGCCAGAAGAGGGCACCAGATCTCATTACAGATGGTTGTGAGCCACCATGTGGTTGCTGGGAATTAAACTCAGGACCTCTGGAAGAACAGGCAGTGCTCTTAACCTCTGAGCTATCTCTCCAGCCCCTATTTTTTATATTTCTAACGTTATTTAAGAACCTCTCCCCACTAGATACTAGTATTAACTCACCTCCCCCCATTCGCTACAATCAACGTTGCCTGTCCGTCCCTAGAGGACGGAATCATTCCTTCCCACCTTAGCTGGAAAGACTGAGGATGCCCTGCTTCGAGAGCAGGTAGTAACTCAGTGACAGTCTGTTCTCCCAGCTTCCATCACACCATGCCATGCTTTCAGTTTCCTAACCTCTCCAGCCACTCCTTTGCTGCACTTTAGTAAATTTCTGAGTATCCCCAAGGCATGCTCCTCGATAGTTAAATTTACTCCGGAATGGGGGTGTCTTGTTTATCTAGCTCTACAGCGTTATAAACTCCTAAGTGCGTGTTTCTGCCACATAAATACCGTGCCTTCCGAGGCAACCTGGTTAAGGGTAAATGTGGTTAGGGAAGGGGCTCGGTGTTCTTGGGGGACCGCCAGGTCTGACTCAACCTTCAGGACACCCGCCTGTTGGTGCGCGGGGCCCTGCCACGCTCCCTTTGTGAGCAGCCGCGGTGAGCGCGGGATTCAGAGCTGTCAGCGTTCGGAGCAGAACGAAGGAAGTCACCGAGACCCGCCGCCACACAGCACCTGCCCCGCTGGTCACGACGATCTCCCCGGCCAGATCTCCCGCGGCTGAGAAACTAAGGAACTGACCGGGTCCAAGAAGAGCACGTTCCCACCGAAACCAGTCCGAGCCAACCGCTGAAGGGAAAGCGCAACCTCTTTTTTTTAGGAAACCAATCAGAGGCTAAAGTGGCCTGGACGGACGGCCCTGGGAACCAATGAGAAACAGAGACCGCTCTCCGCGTGCTTGGGCACGAGAGCCAAGTTTCTTAAAAGGCACCACCAGGCAAAGGCCCCCGGTCTCGGCTGTGCACGGAGACGGGTACCGAGCGCCAGGCGAGCAGGACGGGAGCGAGGCCGGCTCGCGCCCCAGCCCCGCACGCGCCGCGGCCGGGCCAC